TTGCTTCTGTCCGACGGTCAGTGCATTATTTTTTCTGGAATCTAACCGACTTATTTACGGACTCTGTAATCACTACATGATCTTTCTCCATGTTTTGCCCTCATTCATACGATGTCGGGAATCACTTTCCGAAAGGTCATCCATTCTATTCCTACTTCAGCTCAAGCACCTTTAATTATAGCGTTCTTTCAAGACCAGTAACCAAAATGATAAAGTGCATTTTAGTGACATAAATAATCAAATCAATCCATTTAAACTTATTCAAATGTGGCCGGGTCTGCGTTGTTACACAATCACTTGGTTAACTAAAAAACAAAATTTGCATGGCTATTTATTCCATCCCATGCCATGCAAATTTGCCCTAGGTCGTTTCTGAGTCATCTTTGAGTTGAATTTCGTTATGATGCCACTTCTTCATTAACAATTTGTGGAGTTGGTGGCAGTCTTCAGTGTCATAACCGAAGTGTTTGTGCCAGATACAGTACGATTGCAAATTTAAAATGTTAGTTGTATCGCGGTCCCATTTATTCCATTGTGGAGGTTGGGTGACGACGGCTACGTTAGTACTCTTACGAGTTTTATCCTCACGATGGTAGTGTTGACGGAGTTTGTGGTAGTCGTCTTTCTTAGCCGGGGTGGGAGTTGGCTTGGTCTTTTAAGCTGCATGTTTCTCCTCAAGAAACATGAATTCGTTGGCTTGATGAAGGATCTCGTCAAGGGTTTCAGTTTTGCCGGCGGTGAACTTTGTCGTAGAACTTCTGGTTTGATCTGAGGTTTAGTTTTAATGCCATTAATGCAACTTCATCCGTGGGGTCACAGCGAGAGACGACAGTGCGGAACTGGCGGATATAATTGTGGAGTGTCTATTTTTAAAATGTCCATAGTAAAGAAGTGTTTACCTCATGCTCGAGGTAGAGTGAATAATGGCGGAGGAACTCTAGGGAGAAGTGCTAAAACGTCTCGATAGAGTGTGGTTTAAGTTTGGAAAATTATTTGAGCGCGTTTCCCATGAGAGATTACACGAAGTATTAACAGAGAGCGGCGTCGTATTCTTTGGCCGAAAACCGGGCTCTATGAATGACGGCGTTGAAGGTTGTAAGATGTTTTTGAGGATCCGAATTACCAGCTTAAGAATATCGGTAACTTGAGTTTCACGGTGTCTCTGAGAGATATGCTGCTCATGCATTCAATGAATAGGGTTTGTTGAGTTAACTTGAGGATCTGTTCGAGCTCAGGGGTCGAGCTGGTAGTGTTGTGGACCCATGGCGTAATATCAATGATCCATTGGTGTATAGAGGTCGAGCTCGGCCAATTCTCCACTGGCTGCTGAGGTGGCAAGGCTGGATTTGTGTTTAGATCAGATGTTGAAATCCCTGATCTGCTGGTTGTCATCCCAAGGTCAGTGTTTCGCCAAAGATGAGTCATTTAGCTCCCGGCGCAGTTGTTTATGATAGTATTTTTGGGCTTTTGGGAGTGCCGACCTCAGTTACATATGTATCGTCTTCCCAATATGGATCGTTTTGTTGGGTGTCGTTTATGGTTTCAAAGTATCCAATCTGTTGAGCGTGCAGAGCCTTGATCTTCTTATTTATCTTGTCGTTCATCTGCGTCGTAAAGACCTGTAGGAAAGCGAGTATGCCGAGTTAATTGTCTGTTTCAATCATTGTTGACGCCATCGTTTGCTTTTGAATTTAAATAGCTAAAGTGATTCCAGTAATAGCTAGATGCATAAATTACTTTTGTTACAAATATAATATTATACGCCGTCTGCTTTGCATGGCCAGCCCCGAGGTACACCTTGCCGTGGGACACACTTATGCAACACATTAATACATTATATCATACTATCATGTACTCTAAAACAGTCTTTATATAGTTCGATCGATACTAGTTTGTTACACAATCATGTTTATGTCGTTAGTATAAATTATTTGAGCTGTTGTGCATACATACACATAGAGACATGCAGAGTTGGCAGTTGGCACTATATATTGTATTGCAGTGGGTGTCTTTAAAGCCAAGACAAAATACGTCATATAGGAACAAAATACTGACTCGTATATCTGTGTGTACACCTTTTGTCTTTCTTAGCTACTCAACTTTGTATACTACTACTCAAGATTATAAATGTATACATGCCCTAATTACTTTTGTCTTTTTTAGCTACTCAACTTTGTATACTACTACTCAAGATTATAAATGTGTACATGCCCTGATTAAAATCTAAATGCATACTTATAATCCAATTAAACAACTATGGATGGGTACGATAGCATATAGGACAATACAAAATAGTTTACAATCGTTAACATGATCATTTGAGATTAAAACTTGATTAGCTTTACCAAGTAAAATGTTCAAATGTCTTGTTTTCTTGAAAAAAAAAATGTATTTTTATGAAGTTCAGATGACTATGTATACACGACTATAGTACCTTTATAAAATTATAATCTTTTTTTTTTTTCTTTTAGCTCCCAACACGGTTGTTCCTAAATGGTATTTTTGGGTTTTTGAGAGTGCCGGCTTCAGTTACGTCAATGTTGTCTTCCCGACGTAGATCATTTTATCGGGTGTTGTTTATGGTTTTGAGGTACGCGACCTGTTGAACATGTAGAGCCTCAATATTCTTGTTCATAATATCATCCATTTGCGTCGTGAAGGCTTGTAAAAAGGCGCGTATGTCTGTTACGGTCATCGATGGTTGTGCTGGTGGTATCTTCTCTATGGCAGGATTGATGGGATCCTTCCCGTGCTGAGCGTTAGGATCCGTGGTTTGGTCAATTGTCAGTGGTTCGTTGATTCCGTCATTCTGATCAGTAGGAGGTGGTTTTCTGATCATCTTTGAATTCCAATTCATTTTTAGAGCTTGTCTTTTTTGTTTCTACAGACGGGGTTAATTGTAAAAAAAAAAAAAAAAAAAACTTGTTTCTTTCTTTTTGTTAGCTGTAAAATATATGCAATCAAATTAATTAAGCTCGTTTTATTACATTACTATAGTTTATATCCATAGGCTGATGCGTTCTATAAGTACATAATTCTTTACATTTGATTAAAAAAACGACCATCTTGCCACAAACATTTGAATCGCCATATAACTGCTTCCATATTAAAAAAAAAAGATGAGTGTGGTGAGCCACTACCAGAAAATATTTACAACAAAAGATAAGAAACGAAAAATCATTAAACCAAAAAGATAGGAGGTGTTAATTGACTTTCACAGGAGAAACTATCAAATTCTATATTACGAAATTTATTAAAATGTGAACGTGGCCTGTCATAAATAACTTATATGCATTATTGTTTTAATAAAGAGTCTATTTAATGTTATATATAAGTATACAACTATATGATGACATGAGAGCAATGTAAACTAGAAGTAGTTTCGTAATGATGGGTCACAACGTTCTTATAAGGTACCAACTCAACTTTCTCTCGGCATGTCATGTGCGGTTCACGTGGATCAAAAAGCTGACTTTCGAGTTTTTCCATCTCACAACAGCTATTTTCTTTTCCGGTTTGGTCCGGTTAGTGGACCAACATGGATTACTTCCGAGTTTCCATCTCACAAAAGCAGGGATTTCAAAATTTGCTTTGGAAAATTTCTTGTATAAAACAGTAAATGTGGTATACAATCTTCTAATATACCTTAAAAATAATATTGTGAAATGATTATGTCTGATGCAATGTGCAATGCAAACAAACAAAATAATTGAAAAAACGAATGATGAAACACTGAAAGAAAAAAAACCTACTATATTATGACATGCTGAATACACCTATAATAAGAAAAATCAACCATATCCGAGCTAAATGTCTGTTTCAATCATTGTTGACGTCATTGTTTGCTTTTGAATTTAAATAGCTAAAGTGATTCCAATAATTTACGCAGATGCATAAATTACTATATAATGTTATACGCACCGTCGTCTGCTTTGCATGGCCAACCCCAAGGTACAACTTGCCGTGGGACACACTGATAGTATCATATCATACTATCATGTACTCTAAAACAGTCTTTATATATTTCGATCGATACAATTTTGTTACACAATCAATGTTTATGTCGTTAGTATAAATTATTTGAGCTGTTGTGCATACATACACATAGAGACATGCAGAGTCGGCACTATATATAGAATTGTAGTGGGTGTCTTCAAAGCCAAGACAAAATACGCCATATAGGAACAAAATACTGCCTCGTATATCTGTGTGTACACCTTTTGTCTTCTTTTAGCTACTCAACTTTTTATACTATTCAGGATTATAAATGTTTATATATGCCCTAATTAAAATCTAAATGCATTTATAATCAAATTAAACAACTATGGACGTGTACTCGCATATAGGACAATACAAAATAATTTACCATCTGATCATTTGAGAATAAACTTATATAACTTGATTAGCTCAATTTACAAAGTAAAATGCTCAAATGTCTTGTTTTCTTGAAAAAACTGTATATTTTTATCAAGTTCAGATGTCTATGTATACACGACCATAGTAGCTTCATATCAGTCTTATTAATCTATTATTCTTCTTTTTCTTTTTTCTTTCCAAATTTTCATATCATTCTGTTTCTAATATATGAATCTATTAATTTTTAGCTTCATTCAGAATGCTGTGTATAGTTTCTAACTTTCTCGTACACCCAAATTTTGTTTGTTTATAGTATAAATCATGTCTTTGTAACGTTTTTTTTTCCAATGTAGTAATAAAATTCGAAGATGAACCTCTTCCCATGCGATAGTCAAAAATTCTTGGCGGTATCGAAGTCATTGATTTTTTTTCCAAAACACGACAATCGTCGTCAATGATTAACAGTAACACCCATTGGCCCCTCGAAAATGGGAAAAAAGAAAAAGAAAATCTGAAAGGAATGATTAACGAAGCTGTCATATAATAAAGCGATCACAGTCAATCGCTAATTGATCAATCCAACGGCTTATAAATTTTTACCAACCTAACAGCCAGGTCACGATATCTTCCCCTACGGCCGAAATGATTCGTCGCGCTCGAATTTCTTTTTACCAAACGAGAAAAGAAAAAATTAAATTGTTTAATTCCAGATAAACCGGCCTATATAAATACCACATTAAATTGCCCCTTTGAATTATCTCGTCGTCTTCTGCTTCATCGGCCGTTGTAAATTGAATTTCCGGTTATCAGAGAGAGAGAGAGAGAGAGCGAGGAGAGAGAGTGAGCCAGATCCTCTTCTTCGTAGATCGTCTTGCTTCCTGTTTCTTTCCTCGATCTCTCTCGATCGTCTACTTTTTCTCCTCCGATCAAGGTAAATTTCAACCTCCGATCTACTTCTTTCGTTGGATCTCGATTATGATTTGAAGTTACTCGGAAAGTGTTTCCGATTTGGTTTTCGATTGAGTTTAGATCGGTCAAACTAACGGAATTCAATTTGATCTTCCTCGGAAATTTATCCACGAGTATCAGATTTTGGCCCCGATCAAAACGATTGATGTTTGACTTGATTCTTTTGCTTCCTAAGTCAATAACCGGAATAATCCTGTAGAAATCGGAACTTTGAAATGTTTTAGTTGAAGTTTGACTTCGGAACCGTCGATTTACTGACATTTTAGTCTCTTTCTCGATCAAAATTCATCTCTATGTTCCGATTGCAGATCGTAAACCATGGCCGAGGCCGATGATATTCAGCCCATCGTCTGTGACAATGGTACTGGAATGGTTAAGGTTAGTCTCTTCTTCCTCACATTTCTACTTTGTCAAGTTTTTGTGTAGATGTTCTTTTTCTTTTGTTAAGATTTGGTACGAACGGATCCTTTTTGTGCAGGCTGGTTTCGCCGGCGACGATGCTCCAAGGGCGGTTTTCCCGAGTGTTGTTGGTCGACCTAGACACCACGGTGTCATGGTTGGGATGAATCAGAAAGACGCATATGTTGGAGACGAAGCACAGTCCAAGAGAGGTATCCTCACATTGAAATACCCAATTGAGCATGGCGTTGTGAGCAACTGGGACGACATGGAAAAAATCTGGCATCACACTTTCTACAATGAGCTGCGTATTGCTCCTGAAGAGCACCCGGTTCTACTTACCGAGGCTCCTCTCAACCCAAAGGCCAACAGAGAGAAGATGACTCAGATCATGTTCGAGACTTTCAATTCCCCAGCTGTGTATATCGCCATTCAAGCTGTTCTATCACTTTACGCCAGTGGTCGTACAACCGGTAAGTACATCATCGAGAAGAAAAAAAAATCAAAACTTTGATTCCTCTGTTTCTAATTATATCTGTGAAATGATTTCTTCTTTGGTTTTAGGTATTGTGTTGGACTCTGGTGATGGTGTGTCTCACACTGTGCCAATCTACGAGGGTTTCTCTCTTCCACATGCTATCCTTCGTCTTGACCTAGCTGGTCGCGACCTCACTGATTACCTAATGAAGATTCTTACGGAGAGAGGTTACATGTTCACGACTACAGCAGAGCGAGAAATTGTGAGGGACATCAAGGAGAAGCTTTCTTTTGTCGCTGTAGACTACGAGCAAGAGATGGAGACTTCGAAGTCGAGCTCCACGATCGAGAAGAACTACGAGTTGCCTGACGGGCAAGTAATCACGATCGGAGCCGAGAGATTCCGTTGCCCTGAAGTCCTTTTCCAGCCGTCGTTCGTGGGGATGGAAGCTGCAGGGATCCACGAGACGACTTACAACTCGATCATGAAGTGTGATGTCGATATCAGGAAGGATCTTTACGGTAACATTGTGCTCAGTGGTGGTACCACAATGTTCTCTGGTATTGCGGACCGTATGAGCAAAGAGATCACATCACTTGCACCAAGCAGCATGAAGATTAAGGTCGTGGCACCACCAGAGAGGAAGTACAGTGTCTGGATCGGTGGATCTATCCTTGCTTCTCTCAGTACTTTCCAGCAGGTAAAAAAAATTGACCGCCGTTATCTCATTTTTTTTTTTAATTTCTCGCGGTTGATTGAATGTAGAAAATTCATATTGTTGTTTTGTGTGTAATAATCAGATGTGGATCTCGAAGGCTGAGTATGATGAGTCTGGTCCAGGCATTGTCCATAGAAAATGCTTCTAAGGTAAAAGCAAAGAAAAGAAAGCGTTTCCACGACGAGATCACAAAGTTTATTTCTATTTCTCCGATTTGTTTTTGTTTCATTTGATTTCATATTTTTTTTCCCAAATGGGTTCATCGTGGGAGAGAAACTTTCCGGTTAAAGCGTTTGCAGATGTGTACCTGAGTCATTAATTCACGCTTCATACTCCAATTCTAAGTCCATTTGTTTGTTTGATTGTTTTGTAGCCTCTTGAAAAAATAAAACTCTTTGTACTGTTGATATATGTACTGAATCTTGAAATGATTGTTTTTTGTGTTACTATAAAGAAAAGTTCTAAGAACTCTATACTTATAAGACATTCGTCGTCTTGAAACTGAAACTCTCTCTTTAAGTTCAAAGAATTTCAGTAAGATCAAAAGATTAGACGAACAATTTGGTTAGATATGGATTTCGAAATCAGATCAGTCGAATTAAGATTAGACCAATCGGTTCTGAATCTGGTTTTTCGAAATCAAATCAGTCGAGATATCTGAAGCTTTTTGTGGGCTTAAATTGGGCCGCTTAGACAGGTGAGTCCTTATTATTTCGAGCTTTTTGTGGGCTTAGATAGGACCTTGGCAACGTTAATTAATTTAAGACGAAGCAGGAAAATTTAGGATTACTGATTTCTGAGATTATTATTCAAGAAAGTAGAAAGTAGAAACCTAAGAGATTAGCATCGCCGCCGCAGCAGCCGAAGCCGGAGAAAAATGGCGAGCACTTGGTCGTCCTCAACTTCTGCTCGCGAATTCGAACTTGAGAAGGAGGTGAAAAGGCACGAGGTTGCTCTAGATGAATTGAGCTGTCTCTCTTCTTCTCGAAGCGTCTACCAGAAAAACGCCAACCTCTTCTTCCTCGCAACACCCGAGAAAGCGAAAACCAATGCGCAGAAACAACTCAAACACGCAAAATCAGAAATTGACAGGATTCGTTCTCAGACATAACGATGATGGAGCTTTCAAGGGTCTTCTCGTTACAGATCTTGCCTCTCTCTCTCTCTCTCTTTTAGTATATTGCCTTAACTTCTTGATGATATAAATTGATGCTATAGCAATTTTCGTCGGTTGAATACGAAACACTAAAGAAATTCTATAAATCAAAATCTATCGATTTCGTGTGATTGATTGCTTGCAACATTCTTTGTGCACATATCACAATCTTCTCTTGACGAATCACTTATCACAGGCAAGACTTGTAATTCTCATTACTTATTAAGCTGTAATGCTTCTCCATGTACAATGTTCTCTTGATGAATCATCTGAAACAGAGTGTAAAGAGAACGTGACCAACGTATTGCCTCAAGTTAAAGTAGCTATGCTGTTAAACTGAGTACAAGTAAGAACTAATATCATCACAATAGGTCTTCACACTCTTCACTATGAAAGAAAAAAGAACAAACGAAGATGATGCCAATAAAAGATTAAGGTATTGACATTTATACCATTACCAGCAATTGCCTTAGTCTCTGCATCCACAACATTCAAAACTTGAAAAAGACAAATAACGAAGATCCAGCACCGAGTATAAATGTCCAAACAAGTAGTTAATGACCAGATAAATGGGGTGGGCATTCCGGTTTATTTTCGGGTTCGGTTTAGTTTCAGTTAGTTTGGTTTTACTAAATTTATAATCAAATTTAACTAAACTTAATTCGGTTTGGATTCGATTTGGTTCGGTTTAAATACAGTTTGGCTTGATTCAGATATAATTAATTTAGATTCGTTTAAATTAGTTAACAGATTGCAAAACAAAATCTTATATAAAATTATATTATAATTAAAAAATTATTACTTTAAAATTATGAAGTATGAAGAATCAAGCAGAAAATTAATAAAAAGACTTCGGTTTTCTTTATAAATAAAATCTATGTGTTTAGATGTAATATGAGTTTTAGGTTTTCCTTTTGAGATTTGAGAATTAAAAAAAAGTATTTAAATAATAGTGTTAAACTGTTAATGGTTAAAAATAATTAATATCATTAATCATTAATAATTTAATAATTAAGAAAAACCGAACCGAATCATTTGGGTTGACAAAAATTTTAACCAAAATGTTTTGATATAGACTTTGGTTTGGTTTGACTCGGTTCGGTTCGGTTGGTTCGGATTAATTTAATTTGGTTCGTTTTTTTTTCCCACCCCATCGAACATATAATCAGAACAAAGATCTGAAAATCAACGTCAATCGAGTAAAGCATTAAACAGATCACCTGCACATTTGTGGTTACATGAGATCCACCAACTATACTATACAACAAAACACATTAATGTAAATGAATAAAAAGTGCAGAAACAAAAATATTAAAAAAAAAACTTTAAAGACCGTTTAAAATTGATAGACCTGGGTCCTGGAGATACGAACCACAGCCACATGTTTCCAACACAGACCCACACTTCCTCTCTCTTGACTCTCTTTCTCTCTGAGTTCTCCAATGGCGGACTACGACGACGACGAGATCCACCACCACCATCAAAGACCACCGTTTATACCGAAAGAAACCGCCTTTCAAGCTCTAAACACCATAATCCAGCTCCACTTCGAGAAAACCCTTGAGAAAAAACGAGCCATTGACAACCAGAAGAAGAAGCTTAACAAGCTATTCAACCTCTTCTTCATCTTCCTCGCCATTATCTTCGCTTCCCTCTCTCAACCCTCTAGCCGTCTCCAATGCCGCCATTGCTGGGCACCGATTTGCTTCCTCTCTTTCTCTCACCTCATCTTCTACATCTCCGTCGCGCAAACACTCCGTTGCATCAACGGGTTCAAGTACCAGCGTCAGTGCCACAAGCTCACTCTCGGACTCGCCACGGAGAAGCTCAGATTCGTCAAAACCGTCGCGGCTTCCGCCGTGGCTGACGACGAGATCTCCGCCGCTGCAGCTGCCGGAGACCTGGAAGTTCCGTACCAAGAGCCGTCGGAGAGTTATGTCGGGAAGTTTAAGAGGAATTGGGCTCTACATTTCGGGTTCTTGATCCTTCTCTATGGTTTCATGGTCTCTTTCTCCGTCGTCATCCTCTGTTTCTGATCTCATTCGAGGGGCATTTTCGGAAATTATTCAGTTTTAGATAGTCCTTTTAGTCTCACCATTCATCAGAAGATTATTAGCAAACAAAAGTTTGAAACTTTAGAGATTGATTCAACTTTGGGTTCCACTTTCATTCATCTACAAAGCTTGCTTATCCGATTCATTGCCGGCTACGAGTAATTCTGAAATACATTTCGTCTGTTCAGGGGTAAAATGGTAATTTAGAAGGCGCTTTTTTTGGTAACAAACATTTCACTACTATCTTGACTCTTTTGAGAGAAACATTTTAGCGTAGCCACATGTGATACAATCATAGCTGTTTTGACTTTTGATACAATAATGAAAAAGTGAAAAACGTTTTAGCGTTTTTCTTTTTCTTTTTAAGTTGCAACGAACAAACTCATCCGACAATCACATTTTCGGACAAAAAGACAATAGATATATTAATCAAACGGTTTTTGATGATGATTTGGTTTACCATTTCAAAGCCCACGAGTAGAAGTAGTTTTGTTGGTGGGGCCTCCTCCAATGTGCATCTCCTCGCTGCTGGAGGAAGAAGGGTCAAGCCCATACTCACTCGTGCCACCATACTCGCTACTTGCTCCGTAATCACGACTGTCCACTGTCACTTTCCGGAACTTCCTCATCTCGGCACCGTACGTGCCCGTCTCATAGTCGGAGCTTCCGTCTCCTCCGCTCGAGCCAATGTAAGGGCTCTGTCCCGGTTTCACACCTTCGTTTAAGTCATCCAACGACGCATCACCCTCCAACGTTCGAACAATCTTAATGGGAAAAAAAAAAAATGGAAAGAAAACATTTTGTTTATAGTCAGTGTCCAAAATGTTTTAAAACCGATATACACTTGTGGCTTACCTGACTCATTTTTGGGCGGCGTCGACCAGAGTGTCTCACGGCTGCAGCAGCACAAGCCACCATGCGTGCCATCTCATATGGCTCGTAACACTTCTCAAGAAATGGATCAACCAATTCTCCATAGTCTCCATTCTGAGCTGCGTTCATGCATAATGGCCTCGCCTGCCAATAATAATAAAACATTAGTGATGTTTACTTTCGTTTACTTATATGAACATGTGTAATAGTATATCGACTCACTCACCCAATCGACCAAACTGTCTTCCATATCACCACTTAGATCAACAGGTCTGCGTCCGGTTATGAGCTCAAGAAGCATAACTCCAAAAGAGAAAACATCTGATTTCTCTGTTAGTTTCCCACTCGCTGCATATTCAGGAGCTAAGTATCCGAATGTCCCCATGACTCGTGTCGACACATGTGTGTTGTTGTCTTGAGAGAGCTTGGCCAAACCAAAATCTGCAACCTGGAGATCGATTGAAAAGGAATGTTATGGACAAGAGTAGGTAAAAAAGACAAAAAATCAACTAATTAATATATACCTTGGCTTCGAAGTTAAGATCAAGCAGAATGTTTGATGCTTTTATGTCTCTATGGATGATTTTAGGATGACCTTAACACATAGATCAAACAAAAAAAACATATAAATTGTCATAAGGCTATATAGCTTTGATATAGAGATTCATTAAAAATAAGAGGAGATTCACTCACAATCTTCATGTAGATATGCAAGTCCTTTAGCTGATCCTAAGGCAATCTTGAGTCTTGTAGGCCAATCCATCACAGTTCCACTTTTCCCTACAATTCCATTGATTTAGTAACACGGTGTATTAGTTTCTATATAACTCATAATCATTCCCAAAACTCATTATTAATTACCATGGAGGTGGAACTCAAGTGTGTCATTAGGAAGAAATTCATAGACCAACAACCTCTGTCCTCCTGAATTACTGCAATACCCGACAAGAGACACGAGATGTCGGTGGTGAACACGGCTGATGATCTCAACCTCTGCCTGGAACTCTCTTTCGCCTTGTCCGCTTCCGGCTTTAAGGCTCTTCACCGCAATCTCTTTACCATTAGGCAAGATTCCTTTGTGAACATATCCGAACCCTCCTTGACCTAAGAGACGGTCTTTTGAGAAACCTTGAGTCGCTGCGGCGAGCTCCTCGTAAGTGAATGTGCTTTTGTTGAACCCAAGAGCCACTGAAGGGTGAGGCGGTGGTAGAGACGGAGCGTATGGACCTGATGAGTAATTTGAGCTCATCTCGTTGCTTTGGACCATATTCACGCCTCCTGAGACTGGTGCTGGTGGCGACGGCATTGGCTGCCAGTTTCCTGGAGGTGGTGGTGGCGGCGGTGAATTCATCCAGTTTGTGCCCATTGATCCAGGAGGTGGAGGCAGGTTCACAGTATGTTCATTTTGGTTGTAATGTTGTTGCTGCTGCTGCTGTTGTTGTTGTTGTTGTGTAGCAGCACTATTGAGATATTGATCACCCCCAGCTAAAATCGCAAACAAAAAATATATAAAGTAAAGACTTAGATGAGATGTGATGAGAGCTTTTCAGAAGAAACGGACTCATCTGGTTTCTTGGGTGTCAAGAAACAAAATTTTATGACTTTCATGGCTAATAAGAAACTGAAACAGAATCATCATCAATTAGTCATAGCTAAAACTAAAGCTTAAGAATTGGTTAGGGGCTTGACTAGGGTTCATGGATTTGTACTTATTGAAAAGAGAAAGAGCAGATGAATATGATTCATCCGACTTCTTGGGTCCATTTATCATTTGGAACAAACAACACTTTCAAGTTTCAACATTTTTCTCTCTTGGGTATCAAGAAACAAAATTTGATGATTTCCATGGCAAGAGAAAGTTATAGAATCATCATTAGTTATAGCTAAAACTAAAGCTTAGGAATTGAAAGGGGAGAGCAGATGAATATGACTCATATGATTTCTTGGGTAACAAGAAACAAAATTCATGTTTTTTAAGGGGTTTAATTAGGGTTCGATGGGTTTTGTATATACGTACTTTTGCCTGCAGCGAAAGCATTGCTTCCGTAGTACGGCATCTGACCAAGCTTTGATTTCTTCTTTTTCTTCCGCAAACAACAGACGCAGAGCAATATCATGACAAGGAACAAAAGTCCAGCTGCAGCCACAAGTCCTATAACAGCACCCATGTTCTGACTTGACGAATTCGAGCCACCATTGCTTGTTGGAGGCGTCAGCGATTTTGGCGGCGAAGGTGAGCTATGGTCGGAAGTCTTAGACGGTGGTGGAGGAGGATGCAAATTGTTTCTGCCTCCTCCATTGCTGCTGCCTCCATCATTTCCTTTGTTATTTTCGTTGTTGTTATTGTTGTCATTTTGATGCGGTGGGGGCGGTGAAGGAGGAGGTGGAGATTGTGATTGCGAGGAGGAGGAGTCAGATGGTGGTGGTGGAGGCGAAGAGGAAGAGTCATTGGGGGTATTTTCCGACGAAGGAGGAGGAGGAGGTGTTTCTTGTTGTTGTTGGGGTGGAGGAGATATAGGTGAAGATGGAGGAGGAGACAATATTGTTTGATTGTCCGCAGGAGGAGGAGGAGATGTTGTTTGATCGTTGGAAGAGGGAGACGCCGGAGAAGGGGGAGGAGGTTCCGGTGGTGAATTTTCCGGAGACTGCCCCTCCGCCATTATCTCTCTTCGCTGGTTTTCAATTTGAAGTAATTGTGTGATGAAACAAGGAACACCCACCTCTGTTCCTACGAACAAGGCACTTTTTTATTTTTTTGAATTTCTATTTTTAAAAAGAAAAAAAATTCGATTTTTATTTCGTTATTTCTATATTTGAGATTTACAGCGAAGCAAAAATTATTTACAACCGATTTGTTTCAAACATTTTTTTTACAAAAAAAAATGCTTTCGTTGAGAGTTGAACTCAAGACCTCCCGCTTACTAAACGGGTGCTCTAACCAACTGAGCTACGAGAGCTATTTGCCATTTCATTTTTACTAAGAATAGTTGATGGCGTTTTTTGTTACGTCCGTTTAACAATTAAATATATTAGTAAAGTATTTTGTTACTTACTTAAAAAAAATTCTTATATTTATATAGATTTAATTACAGAAACGTATTTTTTTATCGTAAAAATATTAATTAATCATAACAAAATGGATCGATACAAAGAGTTTTAAAGCTCTGGAAGTTCAGATATAGAATCTGAATAAAAAATTCTATTTGAGGATCTAGTTTTGGCTAAAGTATGAGTGATTTCATTACAGGAACGTTTCACATGTATTATATCAGAAAAAAAACATTTATGTAACCAAAATCGTATTTCGTCTAAGAGATTGAAGATGGTATTGTCTATTTCATGTTTTTGGAGGAGGTGGACTAAAACTTGGCAATCACCTTCAAAAATGACATGTGAATAGCTTTTGCACCAGACTTGTTGTAGGGCTGTCAATAATGCTTTGCCTTCGGCTTCAAGACTTTGAAGATATTCTCCCATTGTTTGCATGATCTGGAAGAATCTCGAAGTATCCATCCAGCTGAAGAATATTGATTGTGTGAGTTGAAAACGGTATCATAGTTACATTTAACGACACTAGAGACAAGCGGTTCCATGGTTCGGGTGGTTTTGGTGACGGGAGTACAGATGAAATGTGTGTAGTGATCCATTCAATAACATCTGCATATGCTTCATTAACGTCTTTACCTATTTTGATTCGATGATTGTGAAAAAATCAGCTTATTACGCGATTTATAGAAACGTGTTTTTGTTCTAAATTTTTTAACTTTAAATGAGGGACGTAACAAAAATATAGTCAAATCATATCCGTGTGGCCAAGGGAATGGTTTCAGCTGCTAACGTTTTCCCATGTGTGTTTTGATCTAACGTGCTAGAGTTCTGTAGTGATTGTATGTCCATCCCATCATCTTGTGGAAACCGTAATCAATTAAGGCAGTCACACATGTCGGTTTAACAAGGGTCCTTGTCTCCATGTCCGAGACGATTCTTGTCTCCATCCCCCCCCCCCCCCCCCCCCAAGTAGTGTCGATCATTTGCTGCAGATCAACATAATTATCAGGCACACTACATGTGCTCTGTTGGTTACAATGAGTCAGCAAGTTTGGTGCTTAATGATAGTTCCATATATAGATTTATTAATAACACAAGTTACACAACAGTATTATTTATCGTCATTGTGATTTTACGTATTCTTTTCAACACAACAGGCTTCCAAACAAGTAGCCAGTGTTTACTTTGTGTGTAGTCGAGACTCGAACCATGAAAGATAGCTTTGTAGTAGCTGTAGAGTTAAACACTAGTTTGTAGGTGTTACGATACGACATTCACATTAACGCCCATCGGAAAAATCTAACACAGCTCTGTTGTATATAGAATTGAGGGGTTCAAAATTTTTGTTGGGTTCTTGTGAAAGTGACTTCACTCCAGATAATGAGCTACATAAAGAATGTAAACATTAGTTTCACAATGAAATATACGAGTTTTGATACCATTACAGTAGAAGACACAATATTCTTAAACAATAATTCCTTTTAATGTCCACTAATAATATATGCCACAAAACGTTAGTTTGAATCTCAGGTTTGTTCTCATGCATTGATCAGAATCAGACCAAAGAGCATTTGTATCATAGCATTACATTAAAAAGTTCAACAGGTTCCAACTAATCGAAAAGTTGAAAATTATGCCAGAATAAAAACCCAAAAGATATAAAACACTCGTATAAGTATAAAGTTAAACTATAGAACAAAAATTTCGTCTATTTCTTAGTCACTTGCGTTGCATACAAAACCTTAATAGGTCTCATGCACCACTACACATGCTTACAGACCTTCTTCCTTTCCAATAGATCCTGGTTCTCTTCCGGGGGGGGGGGGGGGGGGGGGGGGGGGGGGGGGTTCTGAGTCTTTCTAAGCCAGTTCAGTTACTTCTATTTAATTAGGATACATTGGAAGAAGAGTAATTACTTAGGAGGGCTAGTGAAATTAGATTTTTTTTTCCAGAAAACCCTAATCTCACTCTATTCTTCATAATAGCCAAAGGGTCACTAATCATGCTTTGTTTCTGACGGAAATAATTTTATTCTTTTTGTTAAGTTTATAAAGTAAAAAGGAAAAGCTTAGTTTAATTTTTTTGTTTTGGATCAATAATTTTTTTACTACAAAGTATTTCACATATCATTCTAAATTGTTTTTGATATATTTTATTATTGAAATCCGTACTTTCTAATACACTAGAATTTTAATAAAGAACTTTTATAAATCACTAATCCAATAATTTTGGCTAATTTTTATATATACTTGATCTAATAAGGAAAAATTTGAAAAACAAATGAAATTCTTCCAAAACATTAATCCATTATGAGTCATATGACCCCCCTTAGTATCTAAAGCTTGTAATGAACAGACACATCGGTAGCTAGAGAGAAAGACAAGATGCAATTGTTAGTTGAACACCCAAATCGCCAACTGTAAACGATTTCTCAAATCACTTCTCCAAGGTGAGATTCATTGAAAAACGTTTGTGTGAGATTAAGACTAAATAAAACACTGATGCAAGTACTAATTAGCGTTTGAGAACAATAGATACATTATTGTTGTTAGAGAATGTCCTGAAACAACTCTTTAAACCATTTTTCAAATCCAGGTCTTCCATAATATATTCCACCCTTGTACAACCAACGTCTCTAGTTTTTCACATCTCTCAGCACCATTTCCTTGAACGAAGCCACAACTTCGGACGTTGCATCCTGACAACGAGAGATCTTAACATCCTAACAAACTCAAACACCTCATATTTTGATCTTCAACATTGATGAGTAAAGCCTTTGTGAATCCAAATAACTGTCCAGATACTTTTCCTGTAGAGCATAAAAAGTGTTACTCCAAAGCATAGGTGATATATACAACATATCATTCCTACATGTAGAGCCCAACAAAAGGTGAAACACATGACATGGATCTGCTTACTAATATGCAAGAACATAAAAGAGTACCATTATATTCCCCAAGCATGTTGTCTGTGCTATAAGTATAAGATTCTTCAATCCAGGTGAATTTTGTAATAACCGATCTTGCAAACATGGTTCTAAGAGTCAAAGTTTGGACCTTGAGAGTTGGGAAAGGAACACCCGTAGCTCGGCAAGAGACAGAATCTAGCAAAAGTTCAGGCTAATGAAACATAAATATCTACAGGGCTAAAACGAAACATAAACTAGAAGAGTATATATATTTGAAACAAACTAGTTAGCAGCAAGTTGATGTTTTCAAGGTGTTCATATTATGAGAGCTTATATGTGCAGATTTGGCTGTAAACGTTCTTAAGCGTAGTAACCATTATTTAATCATCAAACAAACGGTGACTATTATGAAAGAATGATAATATATATACCTGAAGAAGGGTTTCGCTAAAAGTAAGCCTCTCTACGTTCTGTAGTTTTGCTAGCCACTTAGACACCATGGTTTGAACTCTGAAGAAAACCACCCTTCTGAAGAAAACATCAGTCTTCAAAGGACTCTAGCTGTGCGCGCCACTATCAAGGTTAGGCTAAAGAGGAGACATGGACTAAAGAAGATGATTCATCATCAGCAGAGCCCTCCAAACTCATATAATGGATGTGCGGCGCTACAAACTCAAAGAAGCTTTGGGTGCCTGGAAGATTAGAGACACATTACGGGACACAATGGAGCATGTTAAGATCGAAACTAGCCCAGTAGGAACTTAGGAGTTTCTTCCTAGGTGTCTCGCACCAGACATGCCTACATCGTCTGGATAAGTATGAAGTACTGACCGCGAGATTGACTGGAAGAAGGAGAGGATATGGTGGACGATGCCATCTGGCATAGAGCTGATGTCTGATGATACTTCCACCCTTGATTGATGGATATCCATTGCTCGTTTCATCTTACGGTTGCTACTGACTAGGGTTCCTACGACGTTTGCATCGGTGGCAACGTCTCATAATGTTTTTAGGATTTCTTTCTATTTACTTTCTGTTCCTATTCCGTGTTTTTGTTACTATCTTTTAAAAATCAAGATTTGTAACCAAATACAAGATTCGTTAACCAAGATACTATATACACTTGTTTCCTCTATTCTCCAATATTCATTGTTTTGACAATTTTATTATTACCACCTTTTCCAATTTGTTTTTTCTACCTTACTTAATTTTAAAATATAAGATACTTCCCATTACGTTTTTTTTAATATATAATCATTTTTCATTGATAATATTCAATGAAAAATAATATTAATTTAATTTATATAAGACCGGTAGGGCCAAAATACCAAGAAAAGAAGAAAAAGATAATACAACCGCATACAATTTTTCATTCATACAGCTTTTTCTTCATTAAAAGGGTCACTCAAATCTGCGAGGCTGAGCTGGAAGCCAGAACAGCAGGATTTTTAGGAATGTATTTGCGAGCAAGAACATGTTTACCATTAATGGTAAACTTGTTCTTGTTCTTCGCAGTGACAATCTCCTCAATCATGGACTCGAATCCAACCTTAAGCACCATTCTCGCCCACAACGGTTGCTCATTGTCTTCCACTGGCTGCTGCATCGCAACCGCCTCGAACACGTCCCCGAACCTTCTGGTGAAGTATGTACTAACTTCCTCCTCCGAGAGTGGATACCCTTTGGAGAAAGTTAAAAACACCGTCCTGTCATCGGCCGGCACCACCTGCTCATTCTCCGGTTCCTCCTCTACCTTTTCGGCCACCTTTTGAGTTTCTTCCTTAGAAGAAGAAGAAGAAGAACCTATTTCTTGCTGCGCACTCATCGCAGCTCTCCTCATCTCCTCTACGGCTCTCTCATTCTCCAGAGCCAACAGTCTCTCCCTATCACGCCTCTCCGCTCTCTCAACCAAATCACCGAAAGCCCTCGCACAGACACCGGCCAGGTTGTGTCTCAGTCGCAGGAACATAGATTGGCGGTTCTCGTGGATGAACCTGACGGTAAGCTTGCCACTAGTCATACTTAGGGTTAAAGGTATAATCATCTGATCATCACCGTTGTTGGCAAGGAAGGCTGTTGAGAATGCTCGGCTGATCAAGATCCGAACACACAGGTAGATTTCGTTGGCCACGGCGTCGACGAACGAGTCTGGCAGCGAGCAGAGGAAGAAGATCAAGTTGCGAGCGTGATGGAGTTGCTCGAGCAAGTAGAGAAACGCGATGACTTGAGTCGATTGGGTTACGTCTCTGTTGAGACCGAAGACGAGACGAGTGAAGAGGCTCCTGTCGATCTTGTGGAACGCGTTGAACTCGTCTCGTGAGACCACCACGTCGGAGGAAGGGAACAAAGGAGCGTCCATGGTGATTTGTTTGATCTTTGATGAGGATTTTGTGGCTGTGGTGATGTGATAAGAGATTGCATAGAGTTTATTATATAGACAAAATTCATTCAGAGTCACGAATAGGTGCGATCTTTATTTTCCTTCTTAAGCGTTTGTATTGTACAGATTCGTTTGCATATGTGTCGTTCATGTCTCTCTAGTTTATTCCATAAAAAGACATAACCCTTCGCTCATACGGTCATACCTTAACCCTAATTCATATCACTGACTAAACCACTGAATATTATTTGACCAACAAAAAAACCGATATTAATTTTAAAAATTATATATCGTATTATTATATTTACATAAAAACCAAAAAAAAATATGTAACCGATGGTATTTCTTATTTATTGATAAACACTAGTTTTTCTTGTTCCTTTGGAAATCTCCACATCTATAGAAAGCACAAAAACAGTCAACAAGTATTATCCTAAAAGTCAAAAATAATTAAATACGACAAATCTTATCAATTTTGTATATTATTATTTATTTTAAAAGACAGGTCAGCAACAGCAGCATTTTAGGCTCAAGGAGAAGAGAAAGGAAGAAGAAGAAAAAAAAACACCGACTTTCATCAAAACCCAGAGAATTCGAAGAGCTTGAGAGAGAGAGAGAGAGAGATCCCTCAATCGTTGAATCTCTTTGTGATTTCGATGCCTTCCCGTAGAAGAACTCTCCTCAAAGTCATCATCCTCGGCGATAGCGGGTCTGTTTCACCGGCTTTTACTCTCTCCCTCTCTCTCTGTATATGTTGTATATGTGTATGTATCTGCTTCTACTGGGTAATTTAGTATGTTCGATCACTAAGATGGTACTTTTCCCGGGTCAGAATTTTGGTGATTCAAGTCGAATTTTGTGGATTTACATCTGATTGGATTCGATCTGAAATTGTGGTGATCTCTTAGGTTATGTGGTTGGATTTTCGTCGCTTCTGGGTTTGATTGTTCTGTAGCTTCTTGGAATTGAACTGTAAAGCTGTAATTAGAAGATTTTTCTTAGTTCTCTGTGAATTAAAGATCAGCAATTGGGGATAAATCTTTGCTCTCTCGTAGGCTCTTAGTTGAATCAGTCTCAAAGTGATGATGCTGCTGCTAAGTGCTAATTAAGCTCATGTTTGATGTTTTACTTGGTGGTTTCTCTCACTGTATTGATTGCAACTGTGTTCTCGTCTTTTGACTGGGAAAAATCGAGTCTTTTTTCTTCACCCAGAAACTAAAATTGAAAACTGAAGTCTTGTATCATTTTCGTTTTCCGTTTGTTGTGAACCTGGTGTTATAAGTGACAGTCCTTATGAGAAACTATTTGGTCGAGTATTAGCAATCAAAGTCGAATTCGTTGTTAACTTGTTTGTATTTAGTTTTCTTCTTGCTACGTTTCTGAATCAGATGTTGTCCGTCGTAATGACTAGTGTAAAGCTCTCTGCAGTTGTATTAGTTTAAACATCTGTTGTTATGTTGACTCGAGTGAGAACTCATTGGGTATTTTGAACATGTGGTTTTTGCAGGGTTGGGAAGACCTCCTTGATGAATCAGTATCCTAAATTTTGTGTTTGAATGGAGCTAAGAGGATGCTACAATGGTTTTCTAAGATATGGAATGTTTACAATCTTCGGTCTCTATATTATGACTATCTTATAGAAAATTGGTCTGTTCTTTTTCTAGTTAGTTGAGTTTGTGTTTCTGTTTCACTTTAACACGATTCCTTCAGATATGTCAATAAAAAGTTCAGCAACCAGTACAAGGCGACCATTGGGGCCGATTTCTTGACTAAGGAAGTTCAATTTGAGGACCGGCTTTTCACTTTACAGGTTTGTTGTCACAACGCTTTAATGAGTGAACTACTTGCATTTTTTTGATGGAGTAGATTGCATTTTCTTAACACATTTTGACTTCAAAGTGGCAGATGTCAAAATTGGAGAATAAAGTTGATTAATTTAAGAACATGAGGCTGATATTGTTGTTGAATCTCTGCTTTAGTTTTGAAGGAATCTAATTCCTCTGCAGTCTCATCTTGTACCAATAGCAACTTAAGTTCTGTGGGATTTGTTGTGCATTATTCCAGCATTGAAACGGTTCATACTTGTTTCTAATGTGATTTTCGTAAAGGATTTGCTTTGGCATGATCAGACTTAGGAAAACACAAATAGGGTTTACAAAGCCTGTCCTGGATTAAGATTTAAGAACTTAGCACAAGTAGTATATGTATTTACAGTCTTTGCTTGACCACAAGTCTTGCTTTTTCTACAGATATGGGACACGGCTGGTCAGGAAAGGTTCCAGAGCCTTGGCGTAGCGTTTTATCGCGGTGCTGATTGCTGCGTGCTTGTGTATGATGTCAACTCCGCGAAATCATTTGAGGATCTCAACAACTGGAGGGAAGAGTTTCTGATTCAGGTATGTATATAGAGAGTTTCATTCCTTCTTCCCACATATTCGAATGTCTTTGCTTATAAACGCCTTTAATTGTAACTTGCAGGCAAGTCCTTCGGATCCTGAGAACTTTCCCTTTGTTGTCATCGGTAATAAGATCGATGTTGATGGTGGAAACAGTCGGGTGGTAAGTAGACAATCTCGATGTAATTTATATACAAGAACAAGAACAACCTTGAGAGCTGAAACTTGAAACCTCTCTGCATTTTTTTTATTCTTTAGGTTTCAGAGAAGAAGGCTCGAGCTTGGTGTGCTTCGAAAGGAAACATTCCCTACTATGAAACCTCTGCTAAAGAAGGCACCAATGTAGAAGACGCCTTCATGTGTATAACCAAGAACGCAATGAAGAGTGGTGAAGAGGAAGAAATGTACGTTAAAACACGCAAAATCTCATTCGCTATCAAGGGTTTTGATTATACTTTTGTAGGTTTTGTCTGAAACTTGTATGATGTTTGATCTTTAGGTACATGCCTGACACAATTGATGTCGGAACCAGCAATTCACAGAGGTCAACAGGATGTGAATGCTAAAAGGATTTTTCACCACCAACCTCATTCTATCATGTTTTTTTACCATATTGTAAAGCTGTTGTTTTGTGATGAACTTTTTTTTTTTTAAATAGAATCATATAATTAATAAATAAACAACCGAATTGGATTGGTCGGTGTTTGTGGCCGTATATTATGGATCTCTTTTTTTCCTACATTAAACATTATTGTTGTCCTGTCCATTACATTATTTTTCTTTTTTGAAATTGTTGTCCATTACTTTTATGAAAAGACTTAATGGTTTCTTTTTCTTTCTGTTTTCCTTACTTTTTGTTTATCTTTAAGGATGACTTTATCTATAATTGATTCAATGTACCACTGAAGGCGATGACGACTTATGGATATAACATAGATCATATCATATAAATAAATAAAATTACATTTTTAGGGGTATAATATATTATTCTTAACGGTGGTGACTTTGATATCCTTCAAAATTGTTTTCAGATAAAATTGTTTTTCTTTCAATAACATTTTCATTAAGAGACGCCAAATTATGTAGAGGAAAGTTGCGAATTATCCGAAAGAAGGAACATCCTTTTAATTGTACATTTGTACGTAACTAGAAATTTTTTCATAAAGTGGGTATAAAGAAAAAGACACAAAAAGCAAAGCACGTAGATTATTAATTTATATATTTTAACAAAAAACGTGAAGCCATTACCACACAAAGACTCACATTAATGGTTAAATCAATCGCTAAAGTTAATATTTCTTCACTACGGAAAATATACTTAGCGTATAAACAACTCAAGCAGCTGTTCTTCACTTAATTAGTACACACAGATACGTGCATGTATTAAACTGATACATACATAAATAAAGAGCCATATGTTTCGATTACTTATACATTTGGATTGTGGTAGATGATGACGATAGATTTGGTGTTGAAGTTTTTGACGAACCTTTCTCTTGCTGTCCTAAATGGATTGTCGAGAAGCTCTTTGATTGGTTCAGGCAATGGCTCATTCTTCATCATCTTCTTCCAATATTCCTCTGCAACTCCTCCTCCTGATCTTCCTTCACTCAGATTCACAAACTACACCAACAAAATATATATAACATTTATTATATATGCATAAATCAGATCATTGATTAATTAGGGTTTTAATGTAAAGATTGCTTTACCAGGAGAAAGCTGAAAAGGACAAAGAAGAAGACGACCAAGTAACGTTGTTGCTTCATGTCTTTTTAACTTTTGTTTTGTTGTTTGAAGATTTTTCTCGATCTATGTTAAATCTTTCGGTGTTAAGATTATATATATAGACTATTTCTGATGAAGTTTGTGTTTCTTGATAATAACGATATATATAATCCCCCTCTCCTTGCATTTTATTTTTTAATTGTTTGAAAATAATTAAATACTACTACATTGTAAGGTCAACTTTGTACTGTGTATATTTATAGTAATATATTGTAACCTAATTTTTTTATGTTTATCTAAGTTTCAGAGTGGTGGGCCGCTTGAGTAAGGATTTTTGTTCTATTCTTCTCTGGTGAGATCAACTATTACAGCTCAGATAGCAACACCAACATTTTCTATATGTATTAAGAATATACGACTTTATAATTGAATAGAACATAGAAGAATTCTATCATTATTTATGCTAATTTTCGAGTATGATTATATAACAAAGATTCCGTGATGAGATATATCAAAGAAGGATGGGGACAAAATGTATTAAATATCGCAACTAGAATTCCATTATAATTATTTTTTTAAAAGATCTATTGATTTTTTGTGTAAAATACTTTGATATAAAAATAAAACAAAACTAAGCACTAAAAAACGATGTGTGACCCATGTTTTGCAATAAATATATCACTAATGCTAGTTTCATTATTATTGATGTTTGCAATTAGAATGATATACATCCCAAAACAATGTTTTTCTTAATTTTTAAGGTTGTTACTTTGTTTTCTGATTTTCTATTTTGAGGATCTTGACATCGTTGGTTAGATTTTTTTTTTTTTTAAAATGGTTTTATATTGGTGATAAAAAGGGTCCTACTTCGAATCAATACAAAAACGAAAAGAAACAAGAAGAAAAGGCTCTTCTCCGTGAGGGTTATTTTAATCTATGAAATAGACAGGCCAAATGTTGGATTTAACCAAAACAAAAATAAAAATAAAAAAATTATAGAAGTGGGGACAAGTTTAGCGGGTCAACTTTAAATGTGTGTGCACATTTGCGATACGACACATAACCCTACTTTTAAAACATTTACTTATTTAACAGTAATAAACTAATAGTGTATTATGAAAATTTTTAAAGTGGTAGTGGGATACTTATTAGTATGAAGAGCCAATAGATTAGATCAAGATCTACCTCTCAAGTGTTTAATTTCTTCGTATTACTTAAGTTTACTCGTTGGGACTCGAATTATTTATTTACCGATCAAGACGAAGATTATTTATTTACCGATCGATATTATTTACGCTTAGTAAGTTGTTAGTTATTTAGTTAAGTGGCTCATGTACAAGTGCGACCACTGAACATTCATTTCTAATTAACGAGAAGAATTACTTCTTACACCCATTTTATCCTCTTTCTGTATTTCATTGAGTTCATCAAATTTTTCGCAAGCTTGATACGATTCTTGCATGTTCTTCAGTTTTTTTTTTGTTCCGAATTTCCTTTTCATCTTTCGTTAAACTCCGATGGTAGGTGATTCTCGTTCTGTGTTAGCTTCAGCAAAATCTTTTCAGTAATTAGAAATTAATGTATAGTGCTTGTATATAAACAATTCAACGCTCCACATATAACTTTCAATTAGAGACAATTAACCACGATAGATTATATCTCAAGATTATTGAACATTCCATCCACTTAAATGTTTCGGTCATCGTATTTGTCCACACTTAGTGACGAGTTTAGACCATAACTTTTATAGGTAGTACTTTAAGTGCAACACTTAACCGTTTTCATTTTATTCACCGTATATTGATATATATACTGAGTAAGAAACAATGGGGTTTGAAGTTCAAAACAACAATAGAAAATATATAATACTAGATCAATCGAATATAATTTATAGTTATTATCATATGGTAATTACATCTTATTAGAAAATAAAAAACCAAAAATTTGTATAAAAATTCTAAAATATGCATAGTTTTTTTTAATTAGGAGATCATATATCGAAGTACAAACTTAATAGTAGAATACTGTTAAAGAACATATTCGTAATTAAAGAAATTGTCTTAATATTAGAGCACCCATCTTAAATTAAATTTAATTGTAAAAATCAAATTAAATATCAATATATGTTGAAAACTATAATATAATATATTTTTTTTTATATAAAGTTGAATACATTAAAATTAATACTACTATTTAATCATTTAATCTTATTGATGACATCAAAACCACGTGTTACCTAGTCGTTTAATTTATGGATAAAAACACAATAAAAAAGTTACAACATTATGGATTGGAACATTTGAGATGGCAACCAGTAGAGTGCACAAACAACCTAACTGCTTAATTGGATGGAGAACAATGGATTAATAAGACCCCACCATTAATTTTGAAGTTGATCAATACCGAGGCAATGATGTATTGTGATTATGATCATTTGAACGTAATAAAATATTATTTATCTTGTTATGATCTGAACACTAGGGTGTTTGGCCAAGTACACTCATACTATCAAATCTTTACTTTTTAACTTTGCTAACTTTTGGAAATTTGTCTAAAGATTTGAAACCGCTTATACTGCTTTCCAATTAGAAAATGGATAATCATGACTACCAGCTTAGCTTTGGAAAGAAAGTCATAAAGAAAAAGCTGATCATAGTGCTTCTCATAAGTGGATACTGAATTTTGTTATATTTTTATGTTATGGGGTCTAATTAAAAAAAGAGGATAGATAAGATTTATGGTTTGAATGATTTTACTTTTTCCTGATTAATTGTGGTGCTGGTGAAAAGTTGCTATTAGATGAGTTTTATGGTTGATAAAGATCATCATTTAATTCAAAGTTAGAAATGTGTTTTAAATGATGTAACAGATGATTAAATGGTACTGATTTAAATGATGTAAAAATTATTCAAATGCTCAGAAGAATAACACTAGTATATCTCACAAATTAATCGATCTCTCAGCTCGTGGTGCCTTAAGGCCATTAACCAACTTATTGTAACTCTAGAGACTACGGTATTAACAAAACTTTTTATTTAGAGATTAGATTTTGAATTTTTCCGCTGTAATTTTAATTATGGTTGGTTATTATGGATTTTAAAACGATTAGAATACTTCACCTTTTTATTGTGAATTAGTTTGGATTTGACTCGAGGTACTAATAACCTCAATATGCTTCCACAAAAATCGTCTTAGAAACTGACAACACCCAATGAAAGTTTCTTGAAATTAACATATGATGTCAATATTTGAATATGACTCTAAATATAACTTCAAATTTTAAAATATCGTGATTTTTAAGATGTAAATTATACTACCAACAAACTATAGTCCATGATCCATATTATAATTTACTCTTTTTTTAAAAAAAAAATTTATGTTTTTCTAAAAAATGTAAAACAAATTTCACATATATGGAGTTATTTTATATCTATTTCAGAATTTGGGATCATAAATTCCCACCTGAATAAAATTTATTGAGTTTATTTTTGTATACGACACATGGCTCGTAAGTTCGGATATCGAGTGTTTATATAGAACACGTTACAGATACAAGCATCCGTATTACTTCGATAGACACATTTATCGTATCGCATCGTTCACATGCCTTGCATTAGAAAATTATCAAGTCGCAAGTCGATCGTACGACTTGTAAATTTAGTCCAAAAAAAAAAAAATTTGTACGACTTACCGCATGATATTGGCTCAGGATTCATGAGGTTAGTCACCACCAAATTTCATGGGGGTTTTAAATTCAATTATGCAAAAACAAAACTTTATTTTTACCCAAAGAAAAGAAAAATCTATCAATTTTCGTAAACTAAATGTCCATGAAATTTTAGAAAAAAGTCCATATTTAATTTACTTTGCATTTAAAAATAAACATTTTATCGAACGACACGAAGCAAGTGAGTGGGGATCAATCAAGTCATGCATGCATATCTTAATTGTTGGGTCTAAATTTTAATGCGCTTTTTCTTCTTGAAATGATCGATTACTAGTAAATTTTAATAAATTGTCAACTTAAACATGTACTTGTTGGAATATCCTTTTAATTACAAAGTCAACTTAGATTTCTCAATCATGCATAGATATTACAACTTTCGTTTTGTACTGCGATATTACAAGTTTACAACTATTATTTTTTATTTTTTTATTTTTTTTTGGTATGTGGCTAAACTGTTACAAACTTACAACATTGTTCATTAGTGCAATATATTCACTATTTTTAAGAGATTCATATTCTTTAATAAATAATATTGATTAGACATTTTTAACTCGAAATAAGAAAAATAAATAAATATTTATTATGATTGTGTTACAAAAATACACATACATATACTTAGAAATGTATATGACAAAAATATAATAAATGGATGTATTCGTTTTTTTTACTATAGCCTATGGATATGTTTTTATTCTTTCTCTTTTTTTTTTTATCATATATGCCAGACATAAATTTACAAAAATATTTTTGAGAAAACAATTTTTTAACCATAATTTTTCTGTGATGTCGGCGTATCCGAAATTATTTTAAGTTTCTTAGAATCATTTAAAAACAAATACATCTATATACTAAAAAGAGATTCCAGGAACACGAATATTCATTCTGAAAATTTCTCTTTTTAGTTTCGCGCAAATTCGAATGATAGATAAAATTAAATGAGTGATGCATTAAAGTCAAAGATTTTATATGGTGGGTTGGTAATAATGAAAATAAAAAATGGTCAACGATGCTGCGACTAAGTTCAATGAAAGATCAATGGCCTTCTTGTACTTTTTTACAAAAATACTGTATTTAGTAGTATTTCTTTGTTTTAAATATGGAATTTTATTGCTTTAAATCCTTTTGAATTCGCCAAAGGTCTATCGTTCACATGTCAACCAAAGATTTATTGAAGAGTGCCAGACTTCGTGAGAATGACGACCTTCTTTTCATATATTTTAAAATTAAAAATCAGAAGCATTCAATATAATTATATAAACTATGATGAAAAAATACATATGAATTTGAATATTATTTTTCAGTTAAAATCTTACTATTTGTAGATTACTCTAATGTCTAATTTCGAAAATGATTGCGACCACAAATAATATACAAAACAAGATTTATTATTTAATTATTGTTTTTTTTTTTTTCGTTTCCATTACGACGTAAAGGATGATCCATGAAATAATAGAATCAATCCCTTTGAGATGAAATCGAATTATTTTATCTTCTTATCTTTTACAGTTTCAAATAAGATGACGATGTAAGAAGCTGCAGGCACGCGTTTTAACCGCGGAAAAAAACAAGAAAGAGAAGATGCAGGCTTCACAATAATTAGTAATACAAATCAAATGGAATTAAAAATGTTTAACAGTCTACTTAATCTGTAAAACTACTAGATGAAAAATTATTGAAATTAAAAAAAAATGAATAAGTCAGCAATCAGCATCAGCATAAGTAGATTGATTATTATAAATATATGGAGAGAGGGGTGTTCATACTTCATTGAGATCTAAGATCACTTGAATACTTTTTTAATAATTTGCTCATCTTTAAAACAAAAAGTCAAAATTACAAGAAGAAGAAGAAGGAGAGAAGAAGGAACTCACTTTCTCCCCACAGAGAAAATAAATTCATGGCTTCTACTTTGCGATTCTATGTCACCTTCCTCACCCTCCTCCTCTTCTCTCTGGTATGTTTATGTATCTCTCTCTATATGTGTGATTTATATAAGGCTTGGATTGAAAGCATTATATATTCTTGGGATGCTTCTTGAACCGGATAAAAAGTATATTAGTGCTATACAAATCCTGCAACATCATTAGATAATTCGTAATTGTGGCACAAGTTTGCATAAGTACTTATGCATCATGGCTATTACCAATATGTTTAAACAAAACTTCATTTTATTCGGTCGGATAAAAGGTAAATAATACTATACAAATCTTTTGTTAAAGAATACTATAAGAATCTTACAACATATTCATGGAATAGTTTGTAATGAATTTATGTTGTATCTCAATTTGCATAAGATTCTTTATCATGGTTCTTACAGTTCTTAATTACCACATTGTTAAGAAGAACAAAAAAAGAAACTTCTTTTTCTTCTGGGAAGCATTTTAGCAGAATTTTTGTAAATTAAAAAATTGATAAAAAAAATGGTTGAAGTTTTTCGTTTCTAAATATCTTGAATCGGTTTTGTGTTAGTGGGTCGTGGAGGCACACACGTCAAGAAAGCTGATATCAATCAAGGAACAAGAAGGTCAAAATATAAGTCATTTGCTCAAAGATGGTGAATTCGATGATCCTTCATTGTACATGTTTTTCAGAATCAAAGATCTCAAATTAGGATCCAAATTGCTCGGTTACTTCAACAAAAACGATCTTGAAAACCTTCCTCCACTTCTCACAAGACAAGAAGCTGATCTCATACCGTTCACTAACTCAAAGCTTGACTTCCTTCTCGACCACTTCTCTATCCCCAAAGACTCTCCACAAGGAAAAGCCATGAAGGAGACTTTGGCACGTTGTAACTTCAAAGCTATTGAAGGAGAGCGTAAGTTTTGTGGGACTTCTTTGGAGTCAATGCTTGATCTTGCGAAGAAATCAATAGGGTATGATTCTGATCTCAAGGTCATGACGACTAAAGTAATGGTGTCGTCCCAAAACACTAAAAGCTACACTTTGCATAACTATACATTCGTGGAGGTTAAGGAGCTTGTTGGGATTAAGATGTTGGGATGCCATAGAATGCCATATCCGTATGCTGTTTACTTTTGCCATGGCCATAAAAGTGGAAGCAAAGTCTTTGAGGTTAGTCTTGTGACAGATGATGGGAGACAACGGATCGTAGGACCGGCTGTTTGTCACATGGACACGTCTATGTGGAACGCTGATCATGTAGCTTTTAAGGTGTTGAAGATAGAACCGAGATCCGAACCGGTTTGTCACTTCTTTCCTCTTGATAACATTGTGTGGGTTGCAAAGTAGGTGAAGCAAACTTAGCTTTTGTATGATGTGAGTATGTGTATTCTAATAACTATGGCTTGAAAGAAAAAAAGAAAGACAGTCTTGTTGGTTTTGGTGTTGCCTCTTTCGTGTGACTTGCATCTCCTAACGTGAAAATACTACTACAATGTAACATATATATAATCTCATGCGTCCTAATATTTCATATAATACTATAACGTGTGTAATTTTTGGTCACACTTACGGGACGATCACAGTTCTAATTATAACGACTAGGTATTTACACGCGCTACGCTGCAGGATATTTTTCTAAATTTTATATATATTTTTAATATAATAAAATTATTTTTATTATTTAAATGAGTATTATATTTATTTTGTTATTAGCTTAAGTTATGTATTTATATGTTTTAAATCTGAATAAACATTGTATATCTTTAAATTTGTATTTTTCAAAATTATAATTTGCTATCAAATTTGTTTAGCTAACTAACTATAAATATATATGTAAAAATAAAAGCAATATATTTTTAAGTACTTTCATGCTAATGACAAATGTAATTTATTTTCTTTCCTAAATTACCACTTGATCATCCTTTGAAATTATATAAAGCAAATGTCATTTTTTTATTAATTAATATGATTATTTTGATTTACAAAATTTATTTATTTATCAAATATTTATTATAAACATATGTTTCTAAAACCATCAAACTATAATTAATAACATTCATATCAAAACCACTGCTATTGTTTTAGAACTAAATCGAAAATTATGTTTGAACTGATGAAATATCGATTTAGTCGAAGTTAAATAATTAAATTTGATTACCATAAACATATTGTAACTTAGCATAATTTCCCATGAAATTTTATTTTCTTATAAAAACCAAGAAATCACATTTTCCATCAAAACAAAAACTTCATTTTCCCATGAAAATTGAAAAATTGCATATTCATGTAAAAACTTAAAATTTCATTTTCTCACCAAAACAAAAGAATTATACTTTCCCGCAAAAACTAAAAAATCATATTTTTTTGCGAAAACCTGTGTTTTCCCACCAAAACCGAGAAATAACATTTTTCACTAAAACAAAAAAAATTCATCTTCCTGCAAAACCCGAAAAATCGTATTTTTCCGTCAAAACCGAAAATTTTATTTTCTTGCGAAAACCGAAAAATCATCTATTCCGCCAAAACCAAAAAATTATTTTCTCGTCAAACCAAGAATCACACTTTCCTACCAAAATTGATACACTACAATTTCCCGCGAAAACCAAAAATTGCATTATCTCTCGAAAAATTGCGTTTTCCGAAAAAACTAAGAAATGGTAGTTTCCCGCAAAAACCAAAAAAACACATTTTTCTTTAAAAACTGAAAATTTGAATTCCCATCAAAACCGAGAAATTGTTTATTTCTACCAAAACCGATAAATTTTGTTTTCTCATCGAATTGAGAAATTACATTTTCCATTAAAATCTTGAAATTACAATTTCCCATAAAAACTAAGAAATAATATTTTGCTGCAAAAACCAAGAAATCATATTATTCGTCAAAAGCCAAAAATTTACATTAAAAAAAAATCATCCTCATGCAAAATCCAAAAAATCGTATTTTCCGTCAAAAGCAAAAAAAATCATTTTTCTGCGAAAACCGAGAAATTATCTATTCCCGCCAAAAAAATTATTTTCTCGTCAAACCAAGAATCACACTTTCCTACCAAAACCAATACACTACAATTTCCTGCAAAAACCAAAAATTGCATTATTTCTTGAAAAATTGTGTTTTTCCACAAAAACTAAGAAATAACAATTTCCCACGAAAACCCAAAAAATCGCATTATTCGTCAAAAACTGAAAATTTGCATTTCCCATAAAAACCGGGAAATTACTTATTTTTGCCAAACCCGAGAAATTTTGTTTTCCCATCAAATAAAAAAATTGCATTTTTCGCCAAATCGTCAAATTACAATTTGCTGCGAAAACTAAGAAATCACATTTTTCCCACTAAAACCAAAAATTCGTATTATCCGTCAAAAGCCAAAAATTTGCATTTCCTATCAAAACCGAGAGATCGCATTTTCTCGTAAAAATTGAAAAGTTGCATTTTCAATCAAAACCGATATATTCTGTTTTCTAGTAAAAAAAATTGTTTTCTCACCAAAATTAAAAATTTACATTTTTCCACTAAACCCAAGAATTCATTTTTTCAGACATAACCAAGAATTTGTTTTTCCTATCAAAACTGAAAATCATATTTTCCTACCGAAATAAAAAAAATCTCATATTCCCGCCAAAACTGAATTCCCGCCAAAGCCAAAAAAAAATTGTTTTCTTATCGAACCAAAAAATCTTGTTAGCTGAAAAATACAGTTTTCCGCCAAAATTCTGAAATTGTATTTTCCTGCAAATTCCCTCTTTTTCTCCTCTTCTCTCGCCTTTTCTCTCTTCTCCTCATCGAAATTAAGTTGGCAAATAAAATCGAAATTGGGTTGGCTATTTAATGTGTTTTGAAAACAGCATTAGTATGTGGGCTATCTAAGACTATCTAATATAGGCTATCTAATGTAGATCTTGGATGATTTTTTTTAATGAGTTGTATTATTAATTTGCTGAAGTGTCATTCTAAAAGAGTTTCAAAATGCTGATGTGTCTTCACCTAGAGACTTATGTGTTTTTGTTGTATTGATTCCTCGCATAATATAACATTTACACGATGATCACTATATTAATAATTTTTTTTTGTTGAAAAAGTAAAAATGTAAATAAGAATTTCGATAGCAAACAATCCACAGTAACAACAAGTAAACAAGCCGGACCAATAATCGTTTATTCGTGGTTGGAAATTAAGGACGAGACTTAGCCCACTCGCATATTGGGCTTTGAAGTGTTGGGTTATTATCTGGTGATATCTTATCTTTTTCCAACTTGGTTGCTTATTAAAGTTGTAAAAATTTGCATTGCAAAGATTTCAGAATATTTGTATATATGAATAATCTAATAATAAATAATCTAATAATACGAAAAAATATCTTTCAACGAATTTGTTAAGAGTATTTCTTTAGAGGTAAGTTATATAGCAAAAAAAAAAAAAAAGCATAGAATTTCCCATAATGCAAAAGCATACATAGATTTGGAGGACACACACAATCAACGTAAAGAGATATTTTGTAAGAAATCTACAATACTTTTTTTTCGGGTAGAAAAAACAAATGCTGAAATGAAATAATTATTAAGGAATATAATCCAACATAAAATCTAAAAAGTAGCAATCCCATAACAGTTTTCAAATTTTGAAACGAATTTAGCTTTTTACGACCATCTCTTTGTTTGTTAAGATAGCCAAAAAAAATATATATATATATATATCCACAATTTCAACTTAAATCTCAAATTTTTCTACCATCAGAAGAAAACCTCTGACTTGGCATTTGATCATCAGAGAAAACAGGTCACACATTGAAAAAGTATTTGAAGACATAAAAAATAAAATTAAAATTGTGAGGGTTAATACGGAAATATCGTAAACGGCTATTATGGAGAGAAAATCAAGTTGATGCAAGCGGATGCATAACAGAAAAGATTCTCTTCCTCTGTGTTAATTTATATCTCTCTCTCTCTCTCTCTCTTTTCTCCACATTTTCTCTTCCTACTTTCTCGTCGTTTTCTTGCTTCCCAGTACGAATCACAGCGACCACCACCACCCACAAAAAGAAAACACTGACGCCTTCTCTTTTTTTTTTTGTCTGATTTGCTTTTTTCTCCCTATGATTTTCGTACGGAAACCCTAAGATTTTTAATTTCTCTCACCATTTCCGTCGTTTCTCCTCCCAAAAAAGCATGGAAGACGACGCCAACGGAGGTAATCAGAGGAGAAGAGCTCGTCAGATCAACGAGGAAGACGATCGGGAAACGAATCGACGCCGTCAAACAAACGAAGTTGTGAACGAGACTCGAAACGACGGCGCAGTACTACAGGCTGACGATGATGACGACGACGAACGCCTTCCTCTTTCCCTAAGCTTGGGTCCATCATCGTACTTCTCTCAGATCCCGCCGGTGAAGACGTCGCCTCTTCGTCTAGCTCCACCATCGGCTTTTTTTCCGCCGAGGCCGTCACCTGATTTTATGGCGCAGTTGGCTTCGTCTCACCCTTATTTCATGACGTCGCCGCCATATTTGTCATCTTCCTCGCTGAGCAACTCTCTCAACTCTCTCTACCAGTTAGGACCTCGAGGAGGATTTTCAGCACCGATGCAGCAACCGTTTAGGCCGTCGGTTAATTTCTTCCCGCCGCCAGCTTTCGTCCCTCCGGCGAGACCAGTGAGACCAATCATACCCCCCGCGGTTGAGCCACGTCAGGGTTTCAGATCACAATCCGGCGGAAATCGGAAAGAGGATACGATTCCGCCGCCGTTTCCATGGGCGACGAATAAACGAGGGAGGATTCAAAGCCTGGAGTACCTCGAATCGAAACAGATCACTACTATCACCGGAGATGTACAATGCAAGCACTGTGAGAAAGTGTATCAGGTCAGTTACAATCTGAGGGAGAAATTCTCGGAAGTCGTGAGTATTTTCGCGTCGCGCAAAAGGGTCATGAGAGAGCGAGCTCCTTCGATTTGGACGAACCCAGAAGCGGCGAGGTGCGAGCTCTGTGGCCGTGACAAGGCGGTGAAGCCGGTGATTGCCGAGCGGAAGCATAAGATCAACTGGTTGTTTCTGCTTTTGGGTCAAACACTGGGTTACTGTACATTGGAGCAGCTGAAGAATTTCTGCAAACACTCAAAGAGCCACCGTACCGGAGCTAAAGATCGTGTGCTTTACTTGACGTATCTGGGTCTTTGCAAGATGCTCGAGCCTAACAAGGACCTCTTTAACCGTGAGAGCATTAGGCGTTGATTCTATATTTCTATCTGATCCTTCTGCGTTTTGGGTTTTGATTCAGATTAACTTCTGGTGGAACTTGGAACGTCGTTTCAAAACTTTGCTTTTAGGTTTATTACTACTGTGTGTGTGAATAATTGGGTGAAGAAATGCAATTGCATTGCATTGATTTATCTATTTGTCGTTTCGTCGTATGTTTCTCAGGACTCTTTTGACTTAAAATCTCGTTAATATATATATTATGGTTTTATCACTTTATGAAAGTTTAAAAATTGCATGAGTTATTTATGATTATTGGGTTTTTTTTTTTTTAAGTACCTTAACTTTTTAACTTTAATTTAAGTAATTTT